CTTCTTCCCTTCCCCTTCTCCCTGTCCTCTATCTCCTGTCTTTGTCTCTTACTCCCTGCCCTCTGTCCCTCTGGGGCAAATAAATCTCCTTTGTGCTGAGACTTGATCTTGGGGTGTCCTGAGTGGATACCGTTCACTCCACTCAGCATTTCTTAGTTGTCTGTTCTTGTGTAGGGCTGAGGGCCCAGGAGCTTTCTTGCATCAGTGTTAGCACATCCACCGTTGTCCTTGTTCAGTTCATGTTTAGGCAGTCATGTTGGTGAGACTTTACGGGCGTGGCTTCTGACATTCCTTCAAGACACACTATTACAGCAAACTCCTTGTTCTCTGGCTCTTACAATCTTTCCGCCCCTTCTTCCACAATGATCTGAGTCTTAGGCTCAAAAAGCTGTGTTATAGGCCTATCAGCTGGGACTGTGCTCCACATATATATATTTATAGCTATATCTTGATGACATATACATTTGTGTATAAATTATAGATAAGTACATTATATAGTCCACTGTGGTAGTGATGTACTTTAAGAAAAATGAAGCATGTTAAAGAGTCAGTGATGGCGGGGACATGTTTCTTTAAATAAGTCAGGAAGGGTCTCAGGTGACATGAACAGACCTCCTGTATGAAGCAGGAATACCAATGTATTGAAGGTAGAGGGAACCGTAGTGTAAAGGCTCAGGATAGAAAAGTTCTGTGTGCTGAGGGACAGCAGGAAAGCCAAGATGACTTACTTGGAAGCAGAGACAGAGAGGATGCTGGGTGGCAAGGCTCAAGAAGTAAGCAGGAGAACTAAGGGCTATCGTGTGGCCTGCTCTGTTGACTTAGAAGGAAATTGTGTGGATACTGACCACGATGGGTCTCAATGACATAGGAGCTCCTTTGGAACCTCAGGCATGGATATGATGATAAGAAGACCTCATGCAAGGCTTCAAGATGGAAGGCCAGAAGGGAGACCTGAGCTGTGGAGACTGCAGGCTAAGCAGGGTCTGGAGTGGGATTCTGGCTAAGCAGTAGGGTGGACAGGGCAGTCACCCAGGCTTTGTCTCCTCCATGCCCCCCAGATGTTCCAGAGCCTCATTTCTGTCTCCCTCTGGTCCAGCCTGCCAGACCAATGTGCCTATATAGTCTCCCAATTTCTTCCTCTGGAACAGAAGCTCCTGAACAGCAGTGAGTAGGCTGGAAGCAAATATTTATCAACCACTAAGCCAGAGGCTGAAGCAGAAGAGCAGATAGAATTGGGTAGGGGCAGGATTAGTGAGGTTTTGGGTAACTCCTTCCACTAACAGGACCATGACTTAGTTGGGTGTGATAGTCAGTGGTGTCAACTTGACAGAATCTAGAATCACCTAGAAGATGAGCCTCTGGGAATACCTGTGAGGGATTATTTATGTTGGCAGATGGAGGAAGACCCATCTTAATTGTGGGTGGGGCCATTCTCTGTGCAGAAGACTGTGGAGAAACAGAGCTGAGTACCAGCATGTATGCATTCACTGTCTCTGCTCCTGACTGTGGGTGTGATGTGATCATCTGCTTCAATCTCTGGCCACCCTGAAGTTCTCACTCCGTGAACTTCCTCCTTTTAAGTTTCTTTTCTCAGGGTATTTTATCATAGCAACAGAAAAGAAACTGAGACACAAATTGGTACCAAGTGGGGCCAATGCTGTGGCAAACCTGACCTGGTGGTTCTTAGGCCTTTGAGACTGTTTTATGGGACAAAAGTGGAAGAATTGGAGACTTTGGACTAGAAAGCTCTCAAGTACTAAAAGCAAAATGAGCTGTTCTGATGGGAGCTTAGAAGACCAAAATCCCAAGAAATGCAGATATTGGCCCATCTCATGAGTTCTGAGGGGACAAACGACTCTATCTGGAACTAGGCTAGGTGCCTTTCATGTGATATTTTGGCCAAGAGTCTGGCTTCATTCTGTCCATATCCTAAGAAGCTGAAGGAAGCTCAATGTAAAGACCATGTGCTCATTTGTTTGGCAGAGGAAAGGTGTGTGAGCAAGCTTTAAGTTTCGGGTAAAGAATGTGTAGACAGCAAAATGCTGTAATTGTCAGAGAGAAGAGCCATTAACAGAAACTTGTGCTGCACTGGAACCATAGTAAAGGTGTCCCCATCCGAGGCTCCAAACCAAGCGGCTGGCAGTATTGTCAACTGTTTGTTTTTTTTTCTTTCAAGATTGATTGATTGATTGATTGATTGATTGATTGATTTTTTGTTACAGATGGTTGTGAGACACCACCATGTGGTTGCTGGGAATCGAACTCAGGACCTCTGGAAGAACAGTCAGTGATCTTAACCTCTGAGCCATCTCTCCAGCCCCGATTTATTTATTTATTATGTATACAGTGTTCTATTTGCATGTATGTCTGCACACCAGAAGAGGGAGAGATCTCATTACAGATGGTTGTGAGTCACCACGTGGGTGCTGGGAATTGAACTCAGGACCTCTGGAAGAACAGCCAGTGTTCTTAACCTCTGAGCCATCTCTCTCTCCAGCCATCAACTGGTTTTGAAGGCATGAAAAACACAAGACTGAAGGAGTCACTGAGAGCAGCTGAGGCCAGGTAATCTCTGGCAGGGTCAGAATCCCTGGAAAGAGGTCCTGAGAGGCCATTTGTGTGCAATTATGAAAGCGAAGCAATGAAGACCCCCAGGATACTGGAGATGGATTGTGGGATGTCAGCCAAGGCAAGCTGTAAAAATGAATGGGGACCAATTGGAGAGGCCACAGAGCTGAAGGGGTGTGGCTACCCATATATACCTTGGGATATCAGCCAATTTTATCCCAGCCTTGGACACTAGTAGAGAGCTTCAGAGTTCGGTATTTGCTGGACTGGGTTTAGGTCTTGCTTTGGCATGACCATTTGCTGTTATGCCCAGATTCTTCCCTTATGGGAGAAAAAAATATTTATTCTATGCCATTCTAGGTTGGTCACTTAAGACTTTAGACTTTTAAAGCACTGAAATTGTTAAAAGACTATGTGTGTGTGTGTGTGTGGGGGGGGGTGTTATGAGGTGCCTTAGTAGGTCTTTACCTGTTCTGTGTGCCCTGACAGGCATATGTACATGTGTGCACCCCCACATGCATACACACACACACAATCACAGAAGATCTTTAAAGACTATGGAGACTTTTCAAGTTGGACTGAATGCATTTTACAGTTTAGTGTTGTGTCAAGTTGACAAGGGGTAGAGTTGGGGTCAGTGTAGACTTGCATCCCTGTGAGGGATTTTCTTGGTTAACAGATGTGGAAAGACTCTGCGGACTAGTGATCCTGGACTTAGGTGGAGAAAACCAGAGTTTTTGCATGCATACATCCATTGTTCCGTTTTCCCTTTGTAGATGCCCTCAGCTGCGTGAAGCTCTCGCATCTTGACTTTCAACCTTTCAAGTTTAAACTAAGTCAGAATAGCCTTTCCCCCTTCAGGTGTGGCCCGTCCCATGCCCTAAGTAGCCCTGGCTAGCCTGGAACTTGTTTCAAATTTAAAGTCAGAATAGCCTTTCCCCCTTCAGTTGTGCCCCGCCCCATCCCCTAAGTAGCCCTGGCTAGCCTGGAACTTGTTATACACATGAGATTGGATCAAACCCAGAGATCCCGCCTGTCTCCCTGGTGCTGCGGTGAAAGGTGTGCACCCCCACAACCTGCTAAGTTGCTTCTGTTCGGGTTATTTAACAAAGTGCCAAACAAGTAACTATGACATGGGGTAGTTTAGATCTCTCCCCCAAAGGTCTAAAGGACACACCTCTAGTCCTTGGAGCACAGTGCTTTCCTACTTTGTTCCAGGTGTCTAATGCTTCATGTTAGCCATGCCCACACATGTGCCACAACCTCCTCTTTCCTTTTTAAATACTGCCCGAACTCCAGTGTCAAGGATACAAGATTGGGAAAGAATGCTCATGGAAGAGAAAGGGCATCATGTTTTTCCTGTAAACAAAGGCTTTCTCAGTCCTTTTAGTCATCCTATTACATGGTTCTTTACTACTTTGTGGGTGAGAAAGTGAAGTCAGAGAGAAGTGACCCGAGGTTAAAGGGCTAGTAAACAGCACGCTCATCTGTAGCCCTTTAATCCTGCCAGGTGAGTCAGAGCTAAAGAAACCCCTGGCTATTCTCCCTCCCTCTCACTGCACATTTCACACCTACTCAACTAACTACAAGGGGATATGACAAAATGCATTTATTGGAAGTTTACAAATAATATATAGCCTCTTGGAAAGTTAGACAAAAACCAGGTCTAGTGGTGCATGCCTCTTAAAAAAAATCTTAACACTCATATACATAAAATAAAAATAAATCTTAGGGCACACACACACAGAAACACAAACATAACCCACTAAACTTGTGGGTTACCCTCAAGTGCCAGCTCACTACCAGGCTCAAGGAGAGAAGACTCCCTTGCTTTGTCCCTGTATCCAGGGTCTGGAACGGAGTTTACACCGTCCAAGTTTGTATCAGAAGTCTTTTCCTCTAACACGTATCCCGGTGTCCTGATTCTTTCCTTTTGTGTTTTCCTTTTGTTTTTGTTGTTTCTTGCAGGACTCACAGATCTCCTTGGGAAAGACCCACAATGGTAGGTTGCATGTCAAACATTAATCTTTATTAGACAGGTGAGCTTCAACAGTGCTGCACAGTGCCAGCTCAGCTTTCCAGACTCTACTAGAATCCCAAAGCTTACTCTTAAGGGAAAGGTACTACAGTGTTGAGGACGAACGCCATGCTGGCCCAGTGTTCAGCTCTTGTTTTGTCTTTGCTTGCTGACGGTAGCCATCAGTACTTCCACGTCACGTGGAAAGACAGAGGTGCATCAAGGCTCTTATTTGTCCCAGCTGGCAAGCTTTTCATTATTACTTTAATTGGTCTGTCGAGGGCAGGTCAGCAAGTCTAGCTCGCCCAAGGTGCCACAGGGCTCTAACCCTAACCCCAATAACAATGCTGTGGCCTTTCCACTCATCCAAACCAGCAGCAACAAAATCACAAAACACTCATTTGCAAATAGCATATGGCTTTTAGACCCCATCAAATAACTTTATTCACACAAACGTCCCTTAATTTACAAAGCTTCAGTCATTCATACACAATAGGGGGATCCACAGTGTTCAAAGAACTTAAATATAATGTATCATACCAACCCAAGTAAGCCAAGTACAAAAAATATTCATATAAAGTTGTTCACACATAGGTCCTATATTACCAGCTTCTGTGCAAAAAAAAAAAAAAAAAAAAGGAAAATTAGATTAACTAGTATTGAAACTAACCTTGTGCCTGGCTTTAATCTCCCTCAAAACCAAGTCTGACCCACATGAGCATTAAGAATAACTGAAATATCCTCCGGTTTTGATGGTAAGTAGCCTTTGGGATGCAATTAAAAAAAAAAAAAAATCCCCTAAGTAGGTTTCCTTCTTCCTATGATCTCACTTGGATTTAAAAAAAAAAAAAAAAAAAAAAAAAAAAGGCTCACTCCTGGTACTCCCCTCAATCCGAGGGGCCCCTAGGCAACCAATGGCAGTAGATGTGTCCCTCAGAGATGGCTGTGGATGCTGACATCAGCCAATGCTATAGAACACCTACTGGGCTCCCCTCCCAGAGCATGTTTCCAGACAAGGCTCCTTTCCCTCAAAGTCAACCCTATGCTGACCTGAAGGCTATATGACAAACTCAGAATCAGCAAAGGCAGAGGCATCAGCTTCCAGAGTCTGCTGGCCTGGAGAGCTGAATAACCAAGCTTAGCCAATTCTGAGGTAGACTCCCAGCAGCTGTCTGGAGCTGCCAGACGGGGAGAAAAGAACCCAGTCAAGGGTAGGGATAACCCAAAGACCCACCTAGAGTTGAGCCACTAGTGCCCCCAGATGTGGAAGGCGGGGCAAACGAGCAAGAGACGAGGTGGGAAGAGCTCACGTGAGGTGAGCAGGGTTGAGGGGGGCAACGGAATAAGGCAGGGCAGTAACGTTCCCTCCTTGGAGGATAGCAGTTAGACTCTTGCTCTTCCCAAGTTTGCAAACGATACCTAAAGGTTAAAACCCACATACAATCCATCCTTTTATGCTGTCTTCGAACACAGTAAACAGCTAATAGCATAAAGATTCCCACAATGTTCTTTTCCTGTTCTTGGAAAAAGATTCACACAAAAACAATATAACCTTATTGCTGCAAACACTGGTTTTCTAAAATAGTGATATGTTAGAGAGCTGAAAATCTTGGAGGAAGGAATGACGGAGGTGGGACTGTTGGGGCAAGAAGGCTCTGAAGAGGACAGGGAGTGGTCTTAGCACCACGGGGTTAGGAAGCCAGGGAGTCAAGGGCCTCTGGGCTCACTCCAGGCATCGATCCGCCTTCTCTACCACCGGAGTCACCACTGGCAGTGCCACAGGGAGGCCAGGCCCTACCCAGAGTCAGATCTTCACCTAGAGTGGGCGCACTTTTCCTCCAGCTGTAAACAGGGTATTTCTTTAAGTAAACATTAAAACATCCCTCAGGCAGCCAAAGGGCAAAGCCTACAAGGTGGGACTGGAGTTCCTACTCCCCGCCCAATGCCCTAGAGCTAGGTGAGGCTGAAGCCTGACCCTTAGTCTCCTATGACCAGAAGGGGGTTAGCTGGAGCCAGTTTCCATGGTACAGTCGGTGTCTTCCTGGCTAGAGGTATGAACAGGGAGGGACAAAGGCAGTGTGCATATGTGGGCAGCAGCATTTGGTCCTGGTCTAGAGCTGCTGGAAGGGCCACAGAGGCAAGAGGGAGGTGTGTCTGGCTACAGCCCACAGGAGGTGGGTGGGGGCTCAGAGTTTTCCGTCCCCTGTGGCTATATACAGGTGGGAGAGTATGAGTACAAGTGACGAATGGACACAGAGAAGACAGCCACCTGCTTCTGGCAGAGTCTGGACAGAGGAGGACAATGGAATAAGGCACTATGATCTGTCCTTCACTCACAGGGAGCTGAGCTCTGAGCGCACAGAGAACTCAGGCCAGGACAGTCTCCCAACAGGCAATCCTCACACCCAAGAAAAGGGACCAATGTTAGAAGTTCTGCAACTTCTAGAATGTGGACAGATCTAACGAACCTGGAGGCACGTGAGATGATGCCCCACAGAGCTACTGGCAGGTCTGCAACCCATAGAGAGGCAGAGGGGAATAAGAGAGGACAAGGATGCTGATCCCTAAGAGAGACAGAGAGCCAGGCTTTGGGAAGACTACAGAGCCCACCGGGGGCTGACTCACTGGCCATAGCACAGCAAGCGTGTCACCAGGCCAGCTTCCATCTGGCTGGTAGGTGATAGCATAGACTGCAAGAGAGGGAGGGGGGACAAAACAAAAAACAACAACAACAAAACAACAACAACAACAAAACCAGGAACAGGCACTTGGGGCTCAAGACCTGGCTCTCATCTGAGCCAGCGATAGAGGTGCAACCATCAGGCCAGAACCAGCTGGGAGCATGGAAGATAAGGTGCAGGGAAGCAGGCTACCCCTCACCAGGCTACCCAACCGCAACCTATGGGGGCTACTTTGACACCAAGAAAGTACGGTGGGAAAGCACTGTAACCCAAGTCTTGATTGTAGAGAGCTAAGAGACGGGGAAGAGAAAGAGAAAGGTAGGTAGACTAGTGATTTGCTAGGAACCCAGAGCAGGACTACGGCAGGAAGTGTGGGGTCCTGAGCTCAGAGGCTGCTTTTCCCATCTGCTCAGGCACAAAGAGACAGCAGCACCCAGGGGAAGGAGGGGCGTGGAACAGAAATGGAATGGACTTTGCAATTAGGGGATGCTGCTGCTCCCACCCTCCCAGTGCTACTCTGATTAGGCTCAGGAGGCTGCTTACAAAGTCACTCAAGGAGACAAGATGCTATCACAGTACAGCACAAGGTAAGGGCCTACATTACCACCTGCAGCCATGTACCCACAGGAACAGCAGCTGACCTCTGGCCAAGAGGAGGAAGAAACTTTGGTGCTGAGTTGCCTGAGAGAAGGCTGGAAAATGCAAGTGGACAGAGCTGATCAGGGTTCGGTGTTGTGATGGCCTTCCCCACACTACAGGACCAAGGGACAGCTGCTGGAAGAAAAGCTCTCCTTGGCCTCTCACTTCCCTAACCATCCTATGCTAGTTTAGGAAGATAAACAAGAATGAACAGATAGATACCTTCCTTCCTTGTCCAGAGACCCCATCTCATGTGACCAGAACAGGGTGAACAATCTGGAAAAGTTTTGGAGCAACCGAAGGTGCGTCCAAGTTGAGGGATGCACCAGAGAGAATGACAGGGTCCATGAAGCAGCTGGAGGGAAGGTATCTTCCCTTAGGAGGCTGTAAGAACACTGCAGGGAGTTAAGAGTGAAAGGCTATGCAAACAGACAGCAGAGTCATGGGGATCTAGGTTGGGATGCTTTAAGACGGCTAGCTGCTCTATGGGCCCTCTAGTAGCCACATGGGCATCCCTGTCTGCCTCATACCTCCCTATTCAAGGCAGGTCCTTTCTCTTCTCATTAGACAACAGTTACAAAGAGGGTGATCACCTAACACAAAGTCCCTGGGGGTAAGAGAGATGGCGCTTGACAGTATCACCCGGTGGTGAGTGACACCATGGATCCTGATACACAGGGCACACCTTTCACTGTGAGGAAAGTGAAATGATGGCAGCAGCCAGTTGAGGGTACTCTGCAATGGTCAAAACTGGGGCTAGGTAGTCTCTATGACGGGCTGGACTTGCAGCACACTGGGAAGATAATCTAGGAGGCAAAATCCAGGGAAAAAGGTATTGGCCTCAGAGCAGTGGCCAGAGGCCAAGGAAGACCAAGTGACGAGGGTCGGCACAACAGTCCTAATAGAAGTTAGGCTTGTGCAAGTGGGGTGGGGGTGGGGTCTTTATCCCCAAGTGATGGGATGATCACTCTCGGTCTCCTTCCTCAGGGACCCCGCTTAGAAAGGGCAGAAGGAAGCAATTCCAGCTACAGTGAGTCCTGGTGTGGCCTGGGGCTCTCAAGAACTTAAAGAGAACCAAACCCATGGTTTAGGTCTTCTTTAGAGTCCTTCTGGCCAAACCCTGGTCTTCCTCTTCTGAGAGCTTCTTCATCTCTGATCCTGACTGAGGCCTGAGGGCTGGCCAGGACCAGCCCATCCAAGGAGTCCAAGAGCTCCCACGTCTGGTAGGGAGGGAACTCGGAGGCTGCTTCCTTGTATCTTCGTATCCCTTTCCAGGAGAAACACCGAAACTCGGGGTAGATAGAACTTTTTTGGGAAGTGGGATGCTAGAGCAAAACTGAAAGATGTGTAAGAAAGAAAACAGAACATGAAAGATAAAACTAAAATTGTTTCCTAACTTAAGAAATTAACGGACTAACGGTGAATATATGCATAAGCTTTGCCCACATTCAATGTTCTTAAAAACAAAACAAAAACTCAAACAATACAAAGGTGCCTGTCCAGAGTGTAGCCTTCTGCTCTTCAGAAGTCTTGATGGTTTAATGTTTAAAATAATAATTATTATTATAACAAAGGAAAAAGAAAAGGGTAGCGTGGGAAACCCAAGCCAAAGCTTCACATTGTGGGAGGTCCAGCTGTCAGGAGATCGCCACCACCTGTACCCTCTGCCATCCTGTCCGAGACATGATGAGACTGTGGGTCCCGAAGGATCGACCTGGAAGACAGAAGGTAGGCAAAAGTGGACATTGGATCAGTGGGTGAGGGTACAGGGCCAGCACCCAAACCAAACTGACCCTGAAGCTGTGTGAGCTGGGTTTTCTAAGTACTTGATGTGGAGTAAGCTGAGCCACTAACTCTTGCCATCTGGAAAGACACACTCTCATTTCTCGGGTAAGGAAACTGATGTGGTCAAAGTCACAATGACTAAGGGCAGACCCTGGAAGAGGGAACTTAGGCATACTGGCTCCATCAGCAATCTGATCACAAATCCTCTACCTTCTTCCCACTCCAGCATCCCTGTACTCTATAGGACCTATTCCAGATAGAAGTTCCCAACAGACCCTGATGGTCTTGGTTCTGTTTAGCCTTTCTTCTCCACTCTCATCCCTAACTACTGGCATAAGCCTCACAGCAACCCTTGTAAGATTTCGCTGTCCTTTACAAATGGGAAAATGGTACTCAGCATCTGAGAACCTACACTAAGTTAGCCAGCAAGTTTTAAAGAGACCACATTTACCCTCTCCTCCCAGGTCAGTTGGACTCAGAAAGGTCTCCCAGAAGCAAGTGAATAGGACCCATTCTGCCCACAGCATCATCTACTGGGGCTATGACTGAGTGTTCTGGAGACAAAACAGTCTTAGTAAACAGGCTCTCAGCTGGCTGTGTGCAAATTCAAGCCCTTTGTTCTTTGGTCTCATAATCTACACCTATGTCATAAGATGTTTTGAAGATTACATAAATTCAGTTATTCATGGCTTAATGATATAAGAAAGTAGAGCTGCTTGAACATGACAGTATTTATGGGACCACCATTGTACATTGTCCGCTGTTGCCTGAAACATCATTTTGTGTTACTGTATTACTTAGAAGAATGCCTGGTCTTGTGAGCACTGGCTGCTATTTGGGAACTGCTTTGGTGCCAGGCCTCAGGAATAAGACAAGAAGCTGCCCTTCAAGGAAACCTAGCACACAAAAGCCAATAGAGATTAGTATTGGGTCAGCTCCATATTCTGAGCCACTTAATCACATAGCTAAGTATAGCTTTGTCTTAGGCAAGGCAGGTCATCCGGGCAGCGATGTTCTACTAAAGTTTTCAAGGTGCACAGTTTCACCCAATGACTGGCCCAAACAAGCCCTTCCCTGTATGCTTGCAACCCTTCAGTGGCTTCCTTGCTCCATGGACACACCGAGCTCATTGTCTGCAGCTTGACAAGTATGTCCTGGTCCCAGCCCAGTGTGTACCCTCTCCACTGGAGCTGCGGTCAGTACAGCCAGATGACAATGGTCCCATAAGACTCATGTCTTACAGGTGGCCTAGCTCAATCACAAAAGTGACACCAGAGTGGACCTGTCTGCCTCTGTCTCTTCCTCTAAAGTCTTCCATCTCTTTTGGGCTCTGAGTAGAATGAGTATAAAGTATAGGGCCTACAGAAGCTTCGGACGTATCCAATGTGTGCATTTCCTTGGCCTGTGTCTCCAGCTAGACTCTGAATGTACCTTCAGCCATTCAGCCATCACAAGCAATTGTAGGCACCACGGGAAAGGCATCTCCCAACCTGCTGGAGGATGGGAAGCAGCTGGGAAAGATGCTTTCAGAATGTCAGGTCTGCTGAGAGCTAGAGCCTGATAGCTCACTTCTAGAAACCTAGCTATCACCTCTAACTCTAAACATGAGAAAGAATTCACAAACAAAGATGTTCAATTATGGGAAATTACTTCCAATGTCCCAAACTAGAGACTAAATAAATGTTATAGTGAAGAATGAGAGATGGGTGGCATTTGTGCATCAGTGGGAAGCCTGTTAATGAGTCAAGTGGAATACATAAGTTACAAAGCTGTGTGGTAGAAAGCAGGAATATGGTTTGTCTCTATAGCTTAGGGTGGAGGTTAAAGTCCTTACAAGGTAACAGGTGAAAACTTGGGGTGTTTGGATGGATGAGGCCTTTGGGAGGTAATTAGGATTACATAAGTCATTTGGGTGGGATCCCATGATTAAGCTCTGATGTTCTTTTAAGAGGGAGATCCTTGGGGCTGGAGAGATGACTCAGTGGTTAAGAACATTGGTTGCTCTTCCAGAGGACCTGGGTTTGAGTACCAGTACACACAAGCAACTATAATTCCAGTTTCATAGGATCCTATGCTCTTTTCTGACCGCCATGGAAACTAGACATGCACATGATGCACATACATACATGCAGGCAAAGCAGTCATACACATGAAATAAAATGAGTAAATCTAAAAAAAAAAAAAAAACAAAAAAAAAAAAAAACAAAAGAGGGAAAGCCTACACACATACTGAAATACAGACAGACAGACAGACAGACAGACACACACACACACACACACACACACACACACACAGACTTCTGGATACATGATGCCCTGTGTTGCCTCAAAAAACAGTCAGCAAGAAGGGCCATCCTTAGATGTGGACCTTTGGCTTAGGACCAAAACCAAGAATCACCTTTTTTCCTTACGTTTAACTATTATTAAAAAAACAAACAAAACGGATACATAAAAACCAGAATGCACCAAAATTAACCAGACCCAACATCTCTACATAAAAGCATGCACTCTGCAAAGAGGTTAGGTGTAGAGCAAGGGAAGCATCTCCCAAGGAAGGGGAAATAGAATACAGAGTTACTGACAGATTGGGGGAGAGGGGTGGAATGGGAGGATTAAACTGAAGGGAGGAGGGAAGGGAAGAGAGGAATATGGAAGGAACTATGGGAGGGACAACTAACACTGAGGACCACTGGAGGGGGTCATATGGAGACTGACTACTGTAGAAGCATCTTATAATATATACATATAAGAAAGAAATCTAAATGGAGTCAAACAATGGAGGAGAAATGCCCTCCCTATGTAGTTTTCTCCACCAAGCAAAACTTCCGGTGCCAGGAATGGGTTAAAGGGGCCCCATGGAAAGCCCCCAACAACTCAGGATACTGTGAAGGATCCTGGTTGCTTTCTACCAGCTGATGGTACAGCCCTACTGCTGCAAACAACACTTACATATCTCCTTGAACACGGGGAAGCCAACCTGGTACCTAAGCAGAGCCTTCACCCCTATTGACAAGTGTTCATGGTACTGGAAGGTACTCTGCATGCTACCGGAGGAGAAAGGGAACCGCACACCCAGCTACAAACCCTGTGATCTACCATGGTAACCTGCCTGCAATTGGAACAAACACTGTGGGAACAACCAACCACTATCTGAATGGATTAAAGACCCACTCCATGCGATGGAACCCATGCCTGACACTGCTTGGGTGGCCAAGAACCTGAGACTGGAGAAGCAGGTCACAGGCCTAGAGGAAAACCAAATACCAAATTTTTCTGCTAAAGAAACACAGCAATAAAATGACTCCTATCAACTTTCTGCTACGCCTATAGACTGGTGTCTTGTTCAGCCATCAGAGAAGCTTTCTCTTACAGTAGATGGGAACCAACGAAGGGACCACAATTGGGTCGTACACAGACAATGAAAGATCTCATTCTTTGTGGACAAGGAGGTGGAAAGATTTTAAGAGCCAGCAGATATGGATGACACCAAGGAAACAAGGCCTTCCATGAGAGGGGGGACCAGACAGAGCCTCCATCCCTAACCAAGAAGCTAGCTTCAGTTGGCAAAGGCTTGCCAAAGGAAACCTAGTTTTTTCCAATGGAGTTCGAGTATATAAACTACACCTAGGGGCACCCCCGCCTCCCATGCCCAACAGTAGATGGCAAACACAAAACAAACTCAATGGTATTTTTGGAGATTTTTTTTTCTTTTTACCTTACTGGTCTTTTGCACATTATGGTTTCTGATTTTGTGTTTTTATGTGTTTTGTGTGTTGAGTGTCTCTCTCTGTATGTATGAGTTTCTCCTGGTTTTTTGTTTTGGATTAAATTCTGGTTTGTTTTTTTTTTAATTTGTCTGTTTCCTCCTAAAGAGAGAAAGAAAAAATGAATGGAGTTCAGTGGGTGAAGAGGTGGGGAGGATCTGGGAGAAGCTGGGAAAGGGGAAACCATGATCAGAACATATTAAATGGGAAAAAAAATGTTTTCAATTCAAAAATCAAAAACAAACAAAACCAGCATGCACCAAAATTAACCAGACCCGAAGTCTACACATAAGGAGCATGAACTCTGGAGAGAAAACTCAGATCTCTGAGGCCTACTGCTTCACTGGATGCTTCTGCTCCCCTACGAGTAACAGGATTAAAGATTCCCCAAAAGGTCCGCTTGAGGACTTCTTCCCAGTTTGGAACTTGGCTTCTCTCGAATACTCCCTGATGACCTGGCAGCCATTCCAGCCTCAGGTGGCTTTTCCCTGTTGCTTTCTGCCTGTGTTTTCAGTAGATGAGCAGGTGAAACATAAGACAGGCACACTTTTCCAGGGAAGCCACAGCACATGCTTACAGGAGGATGGAGGAGGCACTTTTTACTGCCTCAACAAGAACAGTAAAGACGATCTGGTTTGGAGTCAGAGCAGCTAGCCCATTACTAATGCTTGTTAGACGATGACCATTAGAGCCTTGGTGGGCTCTTGCCAGCTTCCACCTCCTAGTCACAATCATGACCCTTGCCTCCCTCCCTTCCCGTTTTTTGGAAATACAGACAGTGCGATTTACACTTTGAGGTCTGCTGTGAGAGTGGGAACTCCAGTAAACTGCCAGCAGTCCATCTGGTTCACTCATACTCACCCATTCACTACTAGGCTGGCAGAGTGGACACTCCAACTGCCATACTGTCCAATGGTCATTTTGGCTGAGGGCATCAGACCTAGAACTTAACTTTTTTTGTTTTATTGAAACAGGATCTCATTCTGGCTTAGACTCAGGTTGGTCTCTAAGTCAAGGCAATCCGCCCACCTTAGCCTCCCTGAGTGCTGGGATTACAAGCCCGAGTCATCATGACTAGCCTGGAGTTCACTTCTCAAGGCTTAATTCAGGACTATCTTCTATCTTCCATACGGGGTGAGAGAATGAACAGTGGTGGACAGCAGCC